TGAAGTGGATAAACCACAAGCTAGTAGTTCAGCATCGGCAGAAATTTATATTGTGGGTTTCAAGTATAAGGCTCCTACTAAAATTGATCAGCAACTTCTTGATGTAAAGCACGTTATCCAAGGAGGTAAAGAGCCTCCAAAGGTAATCCAATCTTTTTCACATTATCTACACATTATCTTTCTACTTGTTCTAAGGCTCTGTTTGATGTGCAAGTTTTTCTAGGGAAAGTGGAAAACATTTTCACACTTTCCAACTTTTGCCTGTTTGATGTGCCAGATTTACCATGGAATTGGCTTTCCATCTTCAGCCTCATGCGCCTCTTTTCCATGAATTCAAGGAATTTGTTTTCCCTTGTTTTGGTTGGTTTTTTGTTTTCCAGCTTTCCAGCTCTTTTTTTTTTTGGCAATAGAAAAAAATTCTAGACACAATGATAAACAAATTTATCACTTTTATTGACAATTTTCATGCAAAACAAAGCCAAACGAACGATATTCGGTATGGTAATTTTTCAAATTTTTTTAAAATTTAAGATTTTTAATTTTTTCCCAATTAGAACAAATTCTAAACCCAATGGTAGAATAAATTATCACTTTAATGAGCAATTTTCATGAAAAACAAAGCCAAACGGACACCAAACTCTCAACATTTTCCAAGTGGAAAATTATACCAATCAAACACAATTAATTACAATTCCCAGTAAAACAATTTCTAGGTAATTCAATTCCGTGTAAAACATTTTCTTTCCACCCATTTTCCACATTCGCAATCAAACGGACTCTAATTGAAATAGTTATCTGTATTTGACATGTTCAGGTGGTGGATGTACTTAGAGGAACAAAGCAAAAGCGACATCGTGATGGGTATATTTTCTTCTCACTATTGATGGAATGTGTGACTTTAATCTAGAAACATTTGCGCAAAAATGTAGGAAACCGTGTATATGGAAAGATATTTAAATCTTTCCATAGTAGGGAAAATTGATTGTTTGTAGGATATTACTTATTTTT